GTATCATCTGAAAGCTGATTTATTAGCCTTGCTTCGTTTGAAATAATATCTCTGTTTATATTGAACAAAACTAAAAACATCTGCATTTGAAGGAAGTGGGTTAGTCTGATTTTAGTGGTAAAATTAGCAAGAATATGGCCGCCAAAATTAGGTAATTTCAATAGCTAAAGAGTCTTTGAAAACTGAAAAAATGACATATTTTGTGCCTTTAATCAATGTTTCTTCAGTAAAATTCACATGAAAATGTGGATTTTTATATGGACATAGAAGAGGTTAAGCCAAAAAATACAAATTCGATGAAAATTTCCAAGCTAGTGGAAAAATGCCTATTTATCAGATTTTGTTATTTTGCCGAGCGCCTGCTTTCACCACGCTGCCTCACTTATATGTGTGCACTACGGCCTTTCATCCAATATTGGTTGAAATTTTTTAACTTGATATTTCTCAAACGAATAATTATAATTTCCTTCGTACCGACAATCTGGCGTCCCCTTGATAGAATGTTATTTGTTTCAAGTTTTGTGGAAATTGTTCCAAAGGGACCGTTAAGGTGTTGGCCTCTCATTCAAAGGTCCCGGGTTCGAATCTGGGTAGGTACCGAAAAATTTTCTTCTCTAAAATTGTCTCCTTTCACCTCCTTTCCTGCTCTCCAGCAATGCTCTGTCGTCTGCTTTCTGCCCCCACCCCCTCACCTCGTGTGCCCCCTCCTTTGGGCTCCTGATTCTTTCTGCAGCCTTTCTACTGCTACTCCTTGGCTCCTCCTTACGGTTGTCTTTGTGTATATAATTGTTTTGCTCATTTGCATAAGACACCACTTTAAGTTTATAAAGTTTTGTATGTTTGCAGAAGACACCATTTTGTGTGTGTATATTGTCTTATTTGTTTCATAAAACATTATTATGTGTGTGCATATTGTTTTGTATGTCTGCATAAGACACCACTTGGTGTGTATGTTGTTTTCTTTGTTTCAGTGGGGCAACTACATAGTAAAAGAAACACGTTATTTGTTTACCATTTCTCTTTGTTCGTTTGTCTGCATAATTAGCTGACTACCAAGAACAGAGAGAACGTTATCCGGTTGTTTTGTTTGTTTGTTTTTGTTAGTTTGATAAACTCAGTGGTAATTTAAAAAAGAATTGTTTGTGTTTTTATGACACAAGGAAGAAAATGGAAACAATAACTCTCTAACGGAGGAATGAAAATGTAAAACAGAGAGAGAGAGAGAGAGAGAGAGAGAGAGAGAGAGGGGGGGGGAGAGAGGGGAGAGAGAGACAGAGAGAGAGAACCACACTTTTTACACATATTGTTTGCATTATGCTTAGATGGGTTTCTTTTTAAAATTCCAGACATTTCCTGTAAACGCTGTGTGATCCCTGCAAAATATTTTACAATAATGTTCCATCTAGCCGTCCGTATGTTTGTGCTCTCATTTTTTTAAAATGTTATTTAATTTTTTAAAATTTTGTTAACATGTTTTTTGTTGTGGTTTTTTTTTTTTTTTTGGGGGGGGGGGGGTAATTCAAATCTTAGTAAACCTCTGACAACAATCTCAGACTTACTGAAGTGTGGCACTATCAGCTTGAGGTGACCATGAGAGTTTTAAGTTTTACCCATGGATACGGTACCTGAAAAGAAAGAAAGAGAGGTTTAGATTATTCTTTGACTTGAACAGGTTGTAAACCTATTTCCAGCTTTGTCGCAACAAGTTTTGTTTGGAATGTAAAAAAAGGTTATTATCTACAACACAAAAAGATAGCTTTCAAGATACCAGCATGCAATACTCACCAAAAATGATAACAGTAGAGAGATGATAGTTGCAGTACATGCAAACCGAAATTTAAGATGAGTGAGTGAAGCAAGTCAAAGCAATAATGCAACCTTTAGTCTTTAGTCAATAGAATTATGCAAATTTAGAAGGCCAAATTATGCACACAAAAAAGCAAAATTATGCAAATATTATGCAAGTTACCGTAACACCATTCGCGACATGTTTTGCACTTTTTCAACGCGAAGTTTCATGATTTTCATGTTTTATGTACAGAAAAATTGAAAACAGAACATATCAGTACCAGTAATTTGTTGTGTATTTGGAAAAGAAAACAATACACATCAATTTAAAAAAAAACCCGACTAAAATATATGATCTCTGTAACTTTCAGCTGTAGATCTAGATCTATGAAGGAAAGAAAAATTCAAAACAAAAAAAAAGGACGTCTGGACTTCTGATGCAGGCTCATTACTAAAACCAGGGACACCTGCCAAACATGAAACATCAGCAGACATGAGAACAACAACTTTTGATGGATTGAAAAATTGAACATGCTCAAGGAACAAAATCCCAACCCATAACCAAGATCTTCTAACAAGGGAAATAACCAACTTTTCACTTAAATGAGACTTATTGCGGTGATTACGTCCCTTTAGTCACATGGCGGGGCGTTAAAGTGGGGGGGGGGGGGGGCCCAAAGTCAAAATTTGGCTCAAAATTATTGAATTTGAGTTGTAGGCATTTTTAGCTTCATCAGCCTCTCCTACAACTATTTCATCGCATAAGAACCCCCAAACACCATATTTTTTCCCATACCGGGCATGTTTGTGACCGCCATTTCCTCATAAAGTCAGTATTTTATTTTTCTTTATCGGCCGTTTGCTCAAAACACGACTTTTCTCTATACTTTTTTGAATAACTCCACCATTTTTCATCCAATCTTCATGAAATTTTCACAGAATGAAGAAAAGAGGTAATACTAAACATTGTCTGTTGAATTTTTCATATATGGAATAGATTTTTGTTGGTGGTGTCTGGAGTGTGGATTTTCACGGATTTTTAGAAAACTTGAATGCTACCTCAGGAAAAAATTCATTAAAAAAATTTCTGATTCGTTTAGGAAAAAAATAACAGACAAGTTTTTAGATCTGATGTTTGTGAACACGCATGCAAAAAAAAAAAACACAATCAATTTCCATGAGCGATAAGTGCGGTATTAATTACGTAAGACATGTCAACAAAATCAAATATGACCACCATATCCATAGAAACGAAACTTTTTCTCAAATTTGATTGCGGATTTTAAGACTCCTTACTATGCTTGTTATATGTGTGAAATTTGGTAACATTCCGTCCAGTAATAAGCGAGATAGCCTTCAGGTGTAGCCCCCCCCCCCCCCCAAATTAATTAATTGTTATTTGCGAAAAAAGGGGGAAAAATGTTTTAAAAAACGCGGAGAATTTAAAATTATGCAAATGTTGCAGAATTACGCGAAAAAACCACAGCCGCGTCGCTGCCGCACAATCGCATAATCCTACGGGGACAGATAGACGTGCCAATTTCTGAGAGTTTATTTGACCATGGTACACGAAAACAATGAAATCTGTCCTTTACTAAATTTGTTTTTTCTTTTTGTGTGTGTGTGTGGGGGGGGGGGGGGGGGGCTCGCAATTGTATAAGGCCTAAGGTCATATGACAATACGGGACACATTAAACATTTTAGTTTGGTAGGATTTAATTTTGAAACTTACCGGGTGGCGGCTGCAGTCTACTCTTATCTATTTTCAACCACCAAGGGATCTTTTACACGGGTGCCCATTGGGGGAATCGGGTCTAGTCGAAGAAAGAGTTGTGAGTAAAACACCATCGTGTCATTGGTTCAAACGTTGTTGTGTGGTTTGAGACAGATGGGACGCGGATAATGAAAAAAATAATGGGATACTGTTTCTTTATTTTTTTGTTAGAGGTTTGTTGGGTTTAGTTTTGTTTAGATTTGTAGGGGTTGGTTTTTAGCATCCAAGAAGAGAAATAAATGGTGAAACATTGAGCGAAAAATAGAAGAAAACGAAGTGAAAATTTTAAAAGAATAAAAGCAAAGTACTAACAAAAAGACCCAATCCCCCCTCCCAAACCCCTTTTAAAACAATCGAAGGAACATCTGACATTATAAGAAGTCACCTGGTCAGAAATGTTGACAAACCAATCATCAACCTTTT